AGTTGTATTATATTAATATAGGGTTTGGTGATTGGCATTTAATTTCACATATTTCAATAAGCTAGATATAATTATTTTCAATATTTTATTTGGTGAAAGATTAAGCCCCAGTTTGACATCAATTATTTGGGGGGGAAAAAAAAAAATTTGAATAGTGATTTTTAAGAGAACGTGTGGTTAAAAGTATGAAAAAATTTCAGTTTATATACAAAATACTGAGTTATGCTATACTTACAAAGGGGATTGACAAAGTTGGATAACAAAATCACATCCACACAAATCATTTCAAAAACAGGTTTTTAAATAATTTGAAATCAATAGCCTGAATTTTGTCAACACACTTTGTAACTCAACTTTTGTAATTCAACTTTGTACAAGTTGCTTTATTGCAAAATATTTTAGCCTCTGTTTGTTATAAATTAAAATTTAGATTTTAATACAAGGCAAAATCAAAAACTAATTTTAACTATACATTTATGAGACCCACAACTTTTCAATTATACATTTCATAAATTTCTATCAAATTTACTAAAACTCTGATTTTAATTCCCTAACATATAAAGGCTAAGTGTGAACGTGGGGTTAAAAACGAGTAGGTTAAAAAAAAAAAAAAAGTTTTAAATTAAAGACCATCAGAGCTAACCTAAATAATTATTTGGCATGAAAATGAAATTGAGCAGAAAATAGAGATTTCCCTATCAAGTGTCAAATATCTACCCTCGATCAAACATACTGTTAACATCAAAATTGATATAATATTAACAGTAAAGAAATTTGATTACATTCTGATTGGCTTCCGGTTTGTTTTCTATTTAACAGAGAACAAAGAGTACCATTGGACAACACTAGGAAAATTATAGCTTCTCTATTTGTTCATTTAACCTCTTAGCTAAAATATATTGCCTCCACCTCTTCTTCTGCTTTCAAATAAAAGTGAAACATGGTCACACAAAATTTGTCGACGGCTATGAATGCCAAAATCTTGGGATCAGGTCAAGAAACACTAGTTTTGGCACATGGGTTCGGAGCAGACCAGTCCATTTGGGACAAAATATTGCCTTATTTGGCTGATCGTTACCAAGTTGTAGTCTTCGACTGGTGTTTTTCTGGCGCGGTGAAAGATCCCGGCCTCTATGATGCTGCCAAATATTCTACTTATGATGCTTTTGCTGATGACTTAATTTGTCTTTTGGAAGAGATGAAGGTGAATTTCTCAGTGTTTGTTGGACACTCCATGTCTGGTATGATCGGATGCATTGCTTCAATAAAAAGACCTGATCTCTTCCACAAGCTCATACTAGTTGCAACTTCTCCTAGGTAAATGGTTTAAATTATATAATTTCCCATAAATGGATAGTTGTTAAGGATATCAGATTTTATGCTCTTATGGTAATATTAGTACTTTCT